CAAATATGCTTCTTTTGATTTTCTCCCATTCTTTCCCTATCTATTTTCCCCCTGAATGAGAGTCTGAGATAGGTTGGGGAGATATCACAGTCACCCATTACATCCATTATGAAGGGGACACTGCTCTGGTATCAGAGTTAGAAGCTAGAAGGTGATAGCTGGTCTTACTGCCTACACATCTGAAAGAAATCAACAAACTTCATACTTTGGTTTCAGCTGGAAGGCTTTCTGGGAATCAATGTGTCACTGTATGATTTAAATGTCCACAGAAGAGGATCAACCATGCCAATGTAAGTCAACTTCAAACATGTCAAAGAAGGAGCTAAAGCTTCTTAAAATCTGCAGGATGTCAGTCACCTGTTAGCGTCCCAGTATATAACTGTTATGCAACAAATGTAATAGCAAGCCCTGAATTAATTTTCCTCTTTGGTTCATATGTGTCCTGGATCTTACTTTCAAGTGGGGGTGGCTCAATACCTAAGATATCTGAAAGGTTAGTCAAGGTTCCATTCTCCCATTAACCCAGGTATGCAAATTAGACTAATGTTAATCCTTGGCTCACAGCAAAAACTATTGTCCCTGTGGCTTTTCTTTTCGTTTTTTTTTTTTTAATTTTTTTTTATTTATATCATTCTTCCATTTGTTAACCTAAATTTTCTGATAGTTACTGTCCTCCAAATTGATTTTCTATTGACCTTAGTATATTTATCTATTAAATAAGTTTAGAATATGTGATATCTATGGTCTCCTTCTCTATGATGATCTATGAATGAGATTAAGACTTGAAATGTGTTTGGCCCAGTGCCTGGCATATAACAAGTGCTTAATAAATGGTGGTTATTACCATAATTTATAATTATTACTAAATTTTATGAACTTTCACTATCAATTTGATATACTGGAAAGATCCTATAGATAGAGACTTCAACTAGGCAGTTAAGTGTCCAATAGCCTTTTATCCTTGATTAGCTTCAAACTACCCATTATTCATTTATCATTGATTCACAGAAACTTGGGCTAAAAGTAATTTTTTGTTTGTTTGTTTGATACCTGGGATTAAACTCAGGCATACTTAACCACTGAATCACATCCCCAGCCTTTTTTTTTTTTTTTTTTTTTTTTTTTTAGAGAGAGGGTCTTACTGGTTTTGAACTCATAATCCTCCTGCTTCAGCCTCCCTAGCTGCTGGGATGATTAGGCTAGGCATGTGCCACTGTGCCTTGGCCTAAAAGTGTTTTGTTTTTTTTTTGTACCGGGGATTGAACTCAGGGGTACTTGTCCACTGAGCCACATCCCCAGCCCTATTTTATATTTTATTTAGAGTCAGGGTCTGAGTTGCTTACTTAGCACCTTGCTGTTGCTGCGGCTGGCTTTGAACTTGAGGTTCTTCTGCCTCAGCCTTTCAAGCCACTGGGATTACAGGTGTGTGCCACTATGCCCGGCTCTAGAACTGTTCTTAAAGACAAATTCCCAGCAGAGGATGTAGCAGAGGAAGAAATATGGTATCTTATAGGATAATCTCTTCCCAGAATAATTCTGGTTTGCATAGTTTCAAGATATACCTATATGGAGATCTTGTTCACTTCTCTCTCTGTTAAGCTACTTAGATTTCTCTTAATTGCATTTCACCGAAATTTTCTTTTAGAGTTGTCAGGGACTTTGGCAGATTAGGCCAAACACTAGTGGGCCCTCATTATCAGGTAATATGTTGCTGAGTAGAAAGCAGAAAAAAAAACTTAAAACTTCCCGATTTCCTGCCATATGGCATGTTAGAGAGGGAAAGTCCAGGGTCAAAGTTGGCAGTGTCATCCTTTGTATACTAAAAGGAAGCATTAGTGCAAGACTTGTATTACAAATTCTTCTCTAATATTAGTGACATTTTGCACTAACCACTACTAGTCTATCAGTTCCATCTCCCTTTGGCAGCCAAAATACTGGCAATAGGAATTTCCTAACCTACAGAGCATAGGGTCGTGAAGTAAGACAGCCCTTTGCAACTCTTGATCCTTATCTGGAAGCTTGGCCAAAGGGGTTCTATCCAAGGAAGTTCACGATTCATTAAGGTACATCCCAAAGCAGAAAGAAGACTGTGCCTACTCATCAGTGGAGAAGGACTTTGTTATCATTTAGGTTTAGGAATCACACGTTTTGAGAATGCATTTATAATGGAACTGGAATATATTTGCTAAAGGGAAATATTTCATTTTATTTCTTGTGATACTGGGGATCAAACGCATGGTCACTTTATCATGGAGCTACATCCTCAGTCCTTTTTATTTTGTATTTTGAGATAGGGTCTCCCTAAGTTGCCCTGGCTGGCCTTGATCTTGTGATTCCTCTAACTCAGTCTTCTGAGTCACTGAGATTATAAGAGTGTGCCATCATACATGGCTGTATGCTTTACAGATGAACAAAGTCTCCAAATCTTAAAAAACAAACAAACAACAATAGCAAAATAGAGCTAGGTTTTTCCCTTCTAAATACATATGCATCCTAAAGGAAGAATATGTTCTTTGAGTAAACTAAACCTAGGCCTAAGGATTAGCTTACTACATAGAAAACTTGTTTTCCCACTTCATACCTCATTTTCCAATTTTCTCTCATGTTCAATGTAGTGAGTGTTATGCTTGTGTGTGCCAAGCAAGGCATGTAAAGTGTTAGTGGAAAGAAAAAAAAAAAAGGCAGCACGGAGGGAAAATATTAGCAAGCAATTTGGCTAGCCCTAGGAAACAACCTCTAGGCCTCAGGAGACACAGTGCAGTAGTGATTCCTCTTCATTTCATTCAGAAGTTGAAGGCCAGAGACAACATAGCTTTCAAGGAGAGCACTTTGTGTTGCCTTTGTAGTCCTAAACAATAACACCCCAGAGTCTCAGAGAGAAATCCACAGACCTTGCTGCAAAATTCGCTCATAAAATGCCCATGGAGTGGCCCCCTCCTCTAGATTGTGGTCAGACAGACTTTCCCTCCCACCTGAGAGCAAAAGGCCAGGATACCTAAAGAAAGACTAGCTATCCCTCCTATGTGCATTAAGACTCAGATCTTGATCGAACCTTCCTAATTCCACCTGAAACCGACAGCTTCTAGTGAAATAAATCCACATCCCTATGCACAGATACAGATATCTGGTCACTCTGACAATTAATAGTGATCTAATAGATTATGAACTTTTTAGACTCCATAGTTAGGGATTCAGTAATGCAGTACCATAACATTCTGTAATGGCCCATAACATGCTATAACTTGCCATAACATATCATGCCTGAAGATACCATGACATATGATAATATAAAATAACATGTGACACCACACAATAACATGCCACAGTGCACCATGAGGTAACATACTGTAACACATCATAATACACAATAGCACAGTATATGTCCAAAGGGACTGGCTAGTAGCCAGACCATATCAAAACTCTAAAGCCCAAGGGCAGTGTATATGCTTTTCCACATAATAATAATAATAATAATTATTATTATTTTTATTATTATAAGCCACATTTATTCTAGAAGATTCAGAGTATGAATTCCAATAATCTTTTCAGCCTCCCTGCTCCTTTCTCCAGCTTCCAGCATAATATGATGTGGTACATGCTAGATACTAAAAAAAAAAAAAAATGTGATCAATTCATCAAATACATGAATAAAAGACGTACTCTTCTGCAAATAACTTAGTTCTTCTGATTCTTTACTTCTTCATCAAACAATGTGGGGATGATATTACTTTGTGGTTTTACTTGCAAGATTCAACAAAGCAGCATACTTTATGCAATGCATAAAACGTCACAAAATGTTACACGTTCCAAGGTGCTAGTGGAACTGAAGTATGTTTCTGATAACAAAATCATTGTATAACGGGTTAATCTCAAACACATTCAACTAATGCTTAGAAAGAAGGATAACAGGAATGAAAGGAGAAGAGGGGAAAAGGAGGTGGGAGTCAGGGATCTAGTGTCTAATTTTAAGGCCAGTTGAATTATTTAATAAGGGTTAATTTTTCCTTTTATAATAAGTCAACTTGCCCCCCTTAACTCCAATGGAAAAAGAGGTTGTAAAAGCGAAGCAAGAGGGTTAAATCCCAGTTCCCTCCTGCCTTCTGCAGTCCCAGTGCCGTGATGCAGTAATGAAGGCGGTTCTGCCACATATTTCATCCCAACTTCCTCGGTGGTCCTTTTTTTTTTTTATCAAAGACTATCCGGTTCCAGGGTTGTGCTTGGAAAAGTTGGAAAACTTCTCCCTTGGTGGAGAAAAAGAAGCACTCATCAGATGCAATCCAACAAACGAATGAAGTTATTCCTTTGGTCCAACATGTCCATCGACTTGCATTCCAAATATTCATTGAAATATCTTTCCTGAATTCATGGCTGAAATTTCACTCTCCTGTGGAGCTGCCTTGTATCAGATGCGCAGATTTCGAAAGTCGGCAGGCAACTGACTTGGCTTTGGAGCCTCGGTGGTTGGCTTTTGTAGGAGAGGATGCGACTTACTGTCCCGGGTGGTAGCTTCTCCTGGGAGCAGAATTTGTTAAATACACAGTTGCTGAAAAGCATGAAGAATTAGCGAAGTGAAAATCTCGGGTTATTGGTTCAGCAACTGACATACAAGTGACCTTCTTAAATGCTTAGTTGTTTAAGGACGTTTAGTGAGAGGATGAATGAATCTTCGGGGCACTTAACGGGTACCAGCGTGTAAATGTCGTTAGTCTTTCGGGAAGTAGTGCTAAATTAATACAAATCCAGCCAGGAGGAGAGAAAAGGAAGTAAAACCGCGATCCTGGAGTTTTCCTCCCAGCCCTTTGGAAAGATTCGCCTTTTGCTGCCCGGGACCCTGGAGGATTACGGCTGGGATAAGCCGGAGGCACTAGGACCTGGTTGGTGCCTGGCTGCGGCCGCGTTGGGGAGGGCGGAGGAGCGAGAGGAGGAGAGCGCGGTGGGAAAGGAGGGGTGATAGGGGGCGGGGGAGTCATTTATGCAGAGCAGGCGCTGCTGCCATTGCCACTCACAGTCCCCGCGCGCAGCTCGGAGCCGGAGAGAGCGCAGGAAGCAGGGAAGCGCTCGGAGCCTGGGCCAGCAAAGGGGGCGCCCGGTCGCTGTCTGCACCGCCCTGGCTGGTCGTCTCAGCCGCTCTCTGGGGCCCAGAGAGGAGCTAAAGCTAGTCTGGGAGTCTAGGAGCCGAGCCGGCGAGACACAACTGCTGAGGGCGCCAGCTCCACTTCGCCGCCTTTTGCTCCGGAGCCGGGGATCTCTCGCTGACCGCCCCGCCGGTCGGAGAGCGGGGAGCACTGGTCCTTGCAGCCCCAGGGATGGTCTAGGAGCCGGCGCGAGGCTAACTGCTCTGCTCCTGCTGGGGCTTGCCGCCTCCTGCCGATCTCCGGAGGTTGCGCGCCTGGGCGGCCCAGGCCGGAGAAGTTAGTTGTGCGCGCCGCTTAGTGCGCAGAGCCAGCGATCTTGCGAGCGAGCGAGCCAGTAAAGGGAGCCGCGAGGCGAAGGGACCATGGGCTGGGGGGGCCGCTGCTGCTGCCCGGGACGGCTGGACCTGCTGTGCGTGCTGGCGCTGCTCGGGGGCTGCCTACTCCCCGTGTGCCGGACGCGCGTCTACACCAACCACTGGGCAGTCAAAATCGCCGGCGGCTTTCCGGAGGCCAACCGCATAGCCAGCAAATACGGATTCATCAACATAGGACAGGTAACTAACGTCTGGGGGCCGGACCCTCCGCCTGGAAGCTCTTGGGGGCTACTCGTCCCCTCCGCTTCCAATCCCCCTCCCCCTCTTCCAGATGTGCTCTTGCCGCTTGCCCTAACTCTTGCGCTACGCTGTCTGGCTCTCGCGCGCGCTCTCTCCCCCTCACACAAGATACCCACGTACACCAAAGTTGCCGGAAATTTTGTTTTGTTTACTTGGGTTTTGAAATCTACGCGGGACTGGTAGGGTCTCCGGAAAGATCTATAGTGTCCCCGTGGTGACTCTACCAGACCTTTTGACCTGGGAGGTCTAGGAGCACTAGTAGCTGGAGGAAAGGTCTCAGCGGGTGGCCGCAAGGAGGGGCGAATGAGCTCTTCTGGGGGGTAAGGGGTGAACGCATCCTTGGTGCTGGCGGAGAAGAAAAACCCTTTCCTGTTCTGACCTGAATTTAGCTCAGAAAGAAGTTTCCTCTCCTTGGGCAAGAGAACCTCTGGGCGCTGGAGAAGCTGGAGCGCCGGGACCGGAGCCTGGAGTAGAGGAGAGAAGAAGGGGGGAGGGAATGGGGGGCGGGACCCGATGTAAGTGCAGCTTTGGGGGAGATCCTGTGGCTTCCTAGCCTTGATCGGGATCTGGGGAGTGGAGCGGGAGACGGGAAACTTCTGAATATCGCTGACCGGGTTCTGCCGAGGGAAAATGGGGTATCTTTTCCAGGGTGGAACGTGTCATGCCCGGTGGCGGCTCAGTGGGGTCAGAGTTGGGTGGCCTGCAGGAGCGCACGTTTTTTATGGGGTCTGCTCACCGGCTTTTGGCGGAGTTGCCATGCGAGGACATGTCAATAAATTGGATGTTATGGGATGTTGACAGCGTAACAGATTTGGAGGTATTCCGGGGCAAAAATGGTTTTGGCTTTCTCGTTCCCTTCCCCCATGTCCGGAGAGAAATAGTGATTTAGAGGGCTCTGTGAGTGGCCCCTTATGGTTTCCTTCTCTCCCAAAAGCTTCTCTGTAGCTGACCGGAGGAGGGGGCCCTAGCTGGGCTTAGAGGAACCTCCGTCGGCCTGGGAAGAGAGTAAATGTGTGTGTGGTGGGGGCGCGCTTCCGGCAGGCGCGCTTTTGGGACTGCTTGGGGTGTACACAACCTGACACGCTCTGCTAGGGTGAAGGGAGAGGAAAGTGCCATTTGGTGTAGCTGGAGCAAGACAGCCTTAGGTGGTGTCTGATGTTATAGCTCTCCAAGTCCAGAGCAGCAGGACACCTTTGTCCCCACCCGCCCTAATCCCCTGCTGCCTGGCCTCTTGAGTTTGTGATTAGAAAGAGATGCGTTCAGTCAGAGGAGCAGGAGCTCAAGGTCTTGCTCTTTGCCCTCTTAGTGGGAGGACATATTCCAGAGAAGTCAGTTCTGCCCAGGACTAAGACCTGGGCAAGCGGCACGGTTGGGTTCTCCTCACCTCTTCCTTATCCCAAGGAAGTAAGGGAAGCTAGTCAGGTTTTATTGCCTGGGTTCCTGTCATCTGCAGAAGAGTTGTTTTCTAATGACTTGTTGGGATTCTACTGGCATTATTTTCTATGGAAGAAAATACAGAGTCTGTTCAAGTCTTTTTACCAAAGCTTAAAGTTGAGCACTGCGTATACCCAGGATGGCCACAGAGAGGACCAACACTAAAGGGCAGAAGGCCTGTTAATCTTTTAAGAGATGTCTCCTGTTCAGCCAACCATGAGCATCTCCCATATACCAACCATATTTAGTAGGATAAGTTCTTGAACACACAGTTTCTTCTTTTTTAAAATTTTAAATTGTTTTGAATATTACTTTTTATACAGCAGATGAGGAAACCAAGACTCATGGGAAGTTGATGCCACAGGATCACCCAGCTAGAGAGTGGCAAAACCTAAAATTCTGGCTCAGGACCATCTCTCATGGATCCTGCCTTTTAGGATCTTCCAGATAGGGAGAGAAAAGTAATATTTCAATTTCCCTGTATTCTAATTTAGTGGCTCAATAAACTGGAAGCAGATACCCAGTCATAATTCACAGATATTGAGTTCAAATAAACCTGGATTTGTTGATGCTAAGAAGGCTCATAACTTACAATGGCAGAGACATTGGTATCTTTCTGAATTCACAGAGCAGAACTTAGATGTTGTAGAATCAATGGGGAGGGGGGCAGAAATTGCTACCCAAACCACTTTTGAACAAGCAAACATTGCAGTGTCCCCCAACCTTACTTGGCTTTTTCTTTTAAAAAGTAATACTAAGAAAGTTTACATATAAATAACACCAAGTACTATTTAATGTGTTTTTTACAACCTCATTGAGGAAATTTATAGCTTACAGAGGTTACACAGGACCCCTTGATTTGATGCCATAACCAGTGTAAAAAGATCAGCTATTCTACAGTATAAACCCTTTCCTCTGTAGATCAAAGGAGCATATGCCTATGCTAAGTCTTCGGGGTGGTAAATTGAGTTCACACATGCAATATCATTGCATTGTAAGGGCCAACTGTATTTCTTATTCATCCTTTACTGCACTGACCTTTTAACACTTTACACATCCTTTTGTTATTCTTTCTTTTCATCAATAAACCAGCTGTAGTTCAGCTGAGGGCAGTAACCAATTTACAAATGTCTCTGAAATGTTCTATTTTTACCCAGTTGGGCTTGGGGGGTCTCTTCTCCTGTGCTGCAGATTGAAACTAGAACCTGTTACTATTTCTGAAATCATCTACTGTACTGGTAGTATTTTTGATATCTTCAGTAAGATAGGGAGGTGAGTAAGGTGAGTAATTTTCACCATAGTAAAGGTACACTCAGAATATCAATGTAATGGTTTCTGTAACATCTTAGCATTTAAAAGTAATAAGAGGTAAAATTTCTGGCCTGGAGATGTCTACAGAAAAGAATAGCTATGCCTCTTCTGTTTAGAAAAGATAGGATGTGCAGAGTGATACTAGAAGCAATCAAACAAACAAGCTAAAAGGACACGCTTGTCTTCTAGAACGGAACAATAATGAGGGTTTTCCTGCCTCCGGTTATGGAGATAGCATTATGTTTTGGTAGGTTTTACAAAAATGTTTATATTTTGTTAATGGTTATACCTTGAAATTCTGAAGTGATACCCAGCCATAATCATTTTTAATTGCTGCTATTATGTCAGCATATATCATGTTTGCTTGATATTAACATCAGCTATAGAATGCTTTGCCTTTCTTCCCTAGGAGCACCATCTCTGACTACAAGTCCCTTTAGTATCTAGTACCACCAGGGTGGCTGAGGGTAGGAGGTGTGCATGCTTCTTGGCCTGTTGGGGGAGGAGGAAGAGGCCTTTGTCCTTTTCACTAATTTGTGTGCTCTGACCCTTTGAACTAACAGTCTACTTGTTACAGAGTTTAAATGACATAAAGGAATACGACTGGACATATTGTTAATTGTAGACCTTAGTTTGGACTAAATCTACAAAGAGGCATTAATTTCTGGTTATTGGAGTCTGGGAAGAAGATCCCTTTTGAACAGATGGTTTGCAATGTGCAATAGCTGTGTTTATCCTTCTATGAGTTGCCTATAATCCTTGATTCCAAGCCTGAGATTACGAGGGGCAAAAACCCCCTCCCCAAACCATATAATTTATCTTGAACAAGATTCCAGAGGGATAAAATTAGATGCATGCCATACTGAGGAAATATTTTACCTGGAGTCCCCATGGACAGCCTGTGGACTTCGAAATTGCAAAGGCCACTTCTCAGGCTGCAAAAGCGGGAAAGTCACTGAACTTAATGGAGCCCCTGTTCCTTCATCTGTAAAATGATAAATCTCTAGATAATAGAGTGAGTTAACTATGCATTGCTCAGCACATAGTTAGGCTTGCAGTAAAAGGTTTGTTGAATCTGAATCAGAGGAGAAAGGTTGAACTAAGTGAGATCCAAACTTTATTGAGATGCTGAGAAAGGAAGACATTTTAAAAATGGAATATGCAAAATGTAAAGATTAGGGAAACACATTTTTGATGGCCTAGTTAGACGGGCTTTGTAGACATGGAAAATGATTTTCTAATTCAACTAACAATTTTAAATAGCTAAATAGTTGTATGTTTGATTCTAAACAATTATGGATGATTTCCCATGACAGTGCCACCCTTCTCTCACTGATTCTTGTTGTAGCTTTATTAGGTATTATAACATAAACTTGCTGGAGATGGGAGAAAGGGAAAGAAAATATCTGAAGAATGATTATTTTATAGAGTATCTTGCCTAAGCTTATTATGTTAAATCATATTTGAATTTATATTCTTTTAAATTCTTAGACTACAGCTTGTACAAGTAAAATCAGAAGAATAGTTTTCCAACTAAGTAGGAAGAGATACTATAACAGAAAGAAGCTGGTTCATTGATGTCCTGAAGGCCTCCCACTCTGCAGATTAATTTTGACCTTTGAGTAATGGGATGCTTGAAATGCAGATTTATGGTAGGGATTGAGTTCTGGGTGCTTATGGATGGCATTGGAAATAGAGGACATGGCTAGTCTGTTGGGCTGTATGGGAATGGGCTGTGATCCCCCAGATCCTCCAGTTCTTAGGCATTTTATAACAGAAGAGTAAATTGATGTTGTAGTCCCAGGTTGATCCCTGTGTGAAACGTTTGGCTTTGTACACAGCAGCTCTTCACACCCAAGAGCCTCAGCCCTGACCTCTGCCAGCCAGTCTCACGTGCTTATTTCTCATGCTTATTTCTTGTGATAAGGTAAACAGGAGAACAGGGGAATATGGACTGGAAAAAGCAATTTGGAGTGCACAGCCTGATGTTGATGGGTCTGCGTCTGCAGCATTAACTTCATAGACAAGAAATGGGGATTTTCAGTGTATATTTGAAATGAAAAACTATTTATTTATTTATTTTTTTTGGTGAGTCCCAAAGCAGCTGAATTTGCCTTCTTACTATCTTTCATGGGCTTATATCCAGAAGTCTTAACCTGAAAGGTCAGCCAGAGAAGCAGGGTAGTATGCTGGGA